AATAGAACCCTTGCTTTTTAAAAAACGTGTAGTCAAGCAAAGCAAACTAATATGAAACATATGCCTCATTCCTTACCTCTAGTCCAACGTTCTATAGAAAGCTGGGATGCATACTGCACCATCACATTTCTGAATTCATTATTGTTCACAGTATTTATCAAAGTTCAGAAGTATTTCAATTTCTTTTTTTTACATTATTGTGGTCATTGTGTAAATTGTTCTGGTTTTGCTTACTTCATTCTGCATCATTTTGTAGGAGTTTTCCAGTGTTTCTCTAAATTATTCAGATTTGTAATTTCTTTCTGTGAAATCATATTCCATTTAATCATATACCATAATTTAGTTAATCTATTCCCCAAACGAGAAATGCTTACATTGTTTCTAGTTCTTTGAGCACCTTCGGTTATAAACCTGGTAGAGATATTGCTGAGTCAAAGGGTATATAAAGTTTAGTGACATTTTTGGCATAATATCAAATGGTTTTTCCAAAATGGTTAGACCAATTCCACAGCTCCATCTATTTTCTATAGCCCCTCCAACATTTATTATTTTTGTCATTTGCCATTTTTGTCAATTTTCCGGTTATAAGGTGAAACCCCAGAGTTATTATGATTTGCATTTTTAAAATTTTAAATGATTTAGAGCATCTTTCATATGAGTATTGATAGCTTAAATTTATTCTTTTGAAAAAAACACCTTTTTATATCCTTTGATCATTAATCTGCTGTGAAATGGCACTTGCTCTTTATTTATTGAGTCAAAATCTCTACCTTTGTGTAACCACCACTCAGAGGAATTCACAGAATCATAGTACCTCATCTGGAAGGAACCTCAGAGACCATCTCTAGTTTAACCTTAACTTGAGCAAGAATGAAGTCAACAATATACCTACAGAGAGGTCATCCTGCCTTTGTTTGAAGACTTCTAGTGAGGGGGAACCCTGGCTTCCTAAGGTAGCTTATTTTGCTTTTGGCTAGTTTTAATTGTTAGGTAGTTTTCCCTTACAATAAGCCACGATTTGCCTCTTTGTAGCTTTCACCTTTTGTTCCCTCTTCCCAGTTGCAGCCCCTCAGGTTCTTGAAGATAACCTCTTCAAATGGATACTTATGAGGCAGCCCCCATTCCTTTAGCCCAGCATCACAGGGCATGATTTCCATGCCCTTTATCACCTTTATCTCCTCTTTGAGATGCTCTCTAACTGATCAATATTTTTCCTAAAACGTGGTGCTTGGAATCAAACACAGGACTCGAGATGTAGTTTAACTAAGCCAAAGCACAATGGAATGACCACCTCCCCAACCCTAGGTGCTGTGTAGCTTTAATTTAACCTGAGATCACATTAGTTAATGTGGGCTGCCATACCATCCTTTTAACTGATATGGAGTTTACAATTCACTGAAACTCCCAGATCTTTTTCAAGTGCATTACGTTGTGGCCATGTAGCATACCACCCCACATCTTGTACTTGACAAACTGATTATTTTAAACCCAGGTTTACACTTCACCCTATTGAAGTTCATTTAATTAAACTTGGCTGGATATTCTAACCTCCTAAGATCTTTTCGTATTCTTATTCTGCAACCTAGCCTTAGTTATCCTTCCTAGGTTTGTGTTATTCCTGAAGCCAATAGGGCCAATTAACCAGAGAACCTGTTTTCCTGTTTCCTAATTTCCAGGCTAAATAAAGGGAGGAAGGGAGGAAGGAAGGAAGGAAGGAAGGAAGGAAGGAAGAAAGGAAGGAAGGAAGGAAACAAGCATTTATTAAGTGCCTACTATGTGCCAGACACTGTGGTAAGCACTTTACAAATCTCTCTTCTGGTGCAACCAGATCCCTCAGCCAATCCACCATCATCATCCTTACCTCACCCAGAGGGTGACCAAAGAAGTTTTATTAAATTACATTTATTATAGATCAATAAATGAGGGATCTACTTTTAAAAAGTGAATAAACTTGAATGATTTTTAGTTTAACTCCACACAGTTAAAGTGAATGAAGACTGATTGACTTAGTTCTTCTCAGCAATACCATGATCCAAGACAAGACCAAAGGCGTAATGGAAAATGCTATCCACATCTGGAGAAAGAGCTGATGGAATCTGAATGCAAATCGAAGCATTCTATTTTCACTTTCTTTTTTTTTTTTTGTAGTAGCTTCCTTTTGCAAACTGTAACTGTTTTGCATACTCTTTCTTCTTTCACAACATGACTAATATGGAAATAGGTTTTACATGATTCCACATATACAACCTATTTCAAATTCCTCACCATCTTAGGAAGAGAGGAAGGTAAGGAAGGAGGGAAAAAAATCAAAATTTTATAAAAAAAGAATGTTAAAAATTGTCTTTACATGTAATTGGAAAAAAATACTATTAAAAAAGTGAATGAAGAATTGTAATTGTAATATATGTCAAGGAGAAAGTGAGGTCATAGGAACCTCACAACTATTGTACCTTTATGTAAATATAGAAGTGTAGAATCTCCAAAACTTATTTCAACTTATACTGTACTTCCTACGGCGTATCACCTGATCTGGGAGTGAATACTGTGTTACAAAATGTAGTATGACCAGAGTAGGGTGCGGCATATTACTAACTTCCTTTATTCTGAATACTACTTTTCTATTCATGCAGTCCAAGTTTGTATTAGCTTATTTGACTGTCCTGTTACACTTAAGTTACTTAGGTTGAATTTTGCACTAAAATTTCTAGGCTTTTCCCACATAAATCAGTGTCACTAGACATACTTCGACTTTTTCAAATCATTGAAGTGTCCAGGCACATGGACATGAGCTGCAATTAAACATTTCTCATAATCTATGTACCTAAGCAGCTGAATTTTTGAATCCAAGTTCAGCAGTTTGAAATTTAACAGGAATGGTGTGACCTTGGGCAAATCCCTTAATCTCTCTGGGTCTTAGTAAGATGAGAGTGTTGGACTAGACGATCCTTGGGGTTCCTTCTAGTCTTAAATCTATGATCCTAGGGTTCCAAGTTTGAATGAAACAAATATTTTTGACATTTAATTATTACAATTTATTTTAGGATTTAAATGACTTCCAGGTATAATTCTTAAATCCACAACACACTATTAAAAACAAAGAGAACTGCAAACCAAACTCAAACTATCAAACCTATTTGGTTGATTCAATAAAACGAGGTGTCAAATATAAATCAAATAGCCAGTCAATAGGCATGTATTAAACACCTCTTCTGGGCCAGACACTGGGCTAAGCATTGGGGATACAAAGAAAGCTAAGATAGTCTCCACTCTAGGGAAGTGATTGTCTAATGACAGAGACTACGTGAAAGTAATCTCTGTACAGATAAGATACAGGATAAATTGGAGATAATTAACGGAGGGAAGGAGGATCACAAATACATTGTGGAATTAGGAAAGGCTTTAACTTCTGCCTATTTACATTCTTAATACCTCTCCATTTTTATATACTTTGTTTATAATAGCACTCAAGAAAACAGTCTCTTGGTAGGAATAGAGATATATGTGTGTGTGTGTGTATGTATGTATATGAGAAAGAGAGACAGACAGAGAGACAGAGAGACAGACAGAGATAGAGACACAGAGAGACAGAGACACACACACACACACACACACACACACAGAAGAGAGGGAGAGAGAGAAGCTTTCTTTCAAAGGAATTCTCTTATCTTCTGATTTGCTAAAGAATCACTTGTTCGTGTGGTGAGTGCTGGGGACCTGGAGCAATAAATATCTGAGCCAGTACACTTATTAGCTATGTGACCCTGAGCAAATAATGTAAATTTCTTGGGGATAATAGCATCTTCTTCACAGGATTGTCATGAAGATCAAATGAGACAACTGGTGTAAAATGCTTTGCAAATTCTTTTCCTACCAAGAGACACCGTATCTTCGGACTCCACGGTATTTTCACGGGCTGCCTGGACTTCTCTCTCTTACCATCACCGCCCCCTGGTTTCCTTCAAGTTTTAGTTAAAGTCCCACCTTCTGCAACAAACCTTTCGCTTAAATTTAGTTCCTTCCCTTTGAGATTATATCCAATTTATTCGGCCTCTACATAGTTTGTTTGCATGTTCTGTCCCCCGTTAGACTGTGTGCATTGCGGAAACTGAGCCTGTTTTTTGCTGTTCTTTTGTATCCCCAGTGCTTAGCATCGTGCTTGGCCCAGAGTAATTATATTACATTAGTATCTTAATAAATGCTTGTTAATTTGATTTGATTGTTCCTCTACTGGAGACCAAGCTCCCTGAGGGCAAGAGAACCAGTGTTATCTAAACTTTGAATCTCCTCCAGAGCTTAGCACAATGTGATATTAGACTGAACCCCTTACAAGCAGGGCCTGTCTGGGTTTTTTCTTTCTTAGCACAGAAGGGGCTTTGCACACAGCAGTCACTTGATAAATGCTTCTTGACTCTTCACACAGCGGTAATACACCTGCGGATGAACTGAATCAAAGTAAATCCCTGCACAAAATTCTGGACTCTAGAGGGGCAGACTCTGGTGTTTTGAAATGGGAAATCATTCTAATCAGGGCTCCCGGGGGAGGGAACGGAGGCAGATAGCCAGACTTAGGTCGTCCCGGCCCCCGCTTCGGGCCAGCCTCCAAAGCCAATGAAACGACGCCACCGGGCGCCTCAGCTATCCGCAGACTTCGAGCGCCCGGCGTGCGTGGGAGGGCGTGGGGCGCTGAATCACGGAGTATAACACTAGAAAGTCGGCTCTCAGGTCGTTTCCAGTTCTGGACCAGGTGGGGTGGAGGAAGTCTCCCACTTCGGGTCGTGGAACCTCCAAGAACAGCTAAAGTCGCTCCGCCCAGTGACAACTGCCTCCCGCGCCCGGACCTTATGTGGCCGCGGGGGGGAGGGGAGGGAGGAGGCGGGGCCTATCCTGCCTGACCAACCGCCTTCCGCGACTGTTGGCGTCCCGCCCCCGGATTCCCCTTCTCCACCCCCTCCCCCTCCGGGCCGGCGAGGCATTGAGCGCATGCGCGCAGCACTCTAGTGGGTGAGCTGAGGAGGGGGCGGTGGAGGAACGCCCCCATCGGAGCGGAGCTGACCGCTGGAGCTGGAGCCCGAGTCCCGCGATGCGCGGGGGACCCTCCGCCTTCGCCATGGAGTACGTGTGGGAGGAGGTGACCCTCACCTTTTCCCGGGTCCCCATGTTCCCCTTCTTCGATATCGCCCACTACCTGGTGTCTGTGATGACGCTGAGGCAGCAGCTCGGTGAGTCCCCTTGGCTGGGAGGAGCCCGGGACCCTCAAGACGAGGGGCTGCTTGCGGGGCGGCGCGGACTGGCCCCAGTGCCTCTCCCTGCCCGGGGGAGGCGTCGCTCCCCGCCTCAGTTTCCCCGTAACGCCTCTCCTGACCCGCTGCCCCTTTCCCTGGCCCTGCTGTTCGCTGTGCTTAGCACTCGCAGTCTGAGCGCCCTGGAATTGGCGACTGTGATTTTATCATTCTGCACTCCGCAGGGCTGTGAGTGTAAAGTCTGACAATGTTTGTAAAACCCTTTTCAGACCTTAATGGAGCAGTAGAAGTGTTAGCGATTTTATCGGTAGAGTTGTTTCCTCCCAGGAAGTAAACTGTACGGATAATATAGATCCTCCTCCCACTCTTTGGGACCCCCCCCATTTCCCCCCACTTCTCAGGGTCAGGCACAGGATCTCGCCCATACATGGTGCTTAATGGATACGTTCTTGAAATGGGTAAGGAGCACCACTGACACATGGGTTCTTGTGTACCAGTCTGTATATAATTAACTTCGGCCGTCCAGGAAACACATGCAGTCTTGGCCCTTGCCTGTGGAGAAGGCTTGCTGCCTCTGATATGCCATTTAAGACAGGTGGCTAAGTGACTTAGGGCCAGAATTTGTGGCTGCAATGTTTCTGTTGCCATCTAAGGATCTGAAGTTTTGCCCAGTGTTAAAGTCATGTTCTTGTAAAGCATTTAAAAATTGAGACACAAGGTTCACAGCTGACAATCCCAAATCAGAAGTGTGCTTGAGATTTTTTTTTTCTCCATTTAAAAAAAAATGACGTCTCTTAAAATATTCGAGAAGTTATGGGGCACTTTGCAACTATGAATGTTCTGTAAGTTTTTAAAATAACAGTCTCAAAGTAAAAGTTAGAATTATAGAGTTTGAATTACTATCTGATTTGCAGGATTTCTCCAGTATGTCTTCTGCAAACCTTTTCTTCCTTCTTCATACCTCCTTTGGCTTTTCTTCCCCTCACTCTTTCAGCTGAGAATTTGCCTTATTTTTCAATCAGTCAGTAAACATTTATTAAGAGCCTACTATGTGCCAGGCACTGTGCTAAGGTCTGGAAATGTAAATATAAATAGTAACAAAGAGTCCCTGCCTTCTAGGGGTATATAATCTAATGGGGAAAGACAGCACATTAAAGGAATTGAGGGGGAATGGGGAAGGATGATGGGGAGAGGTAGAGAAGAACTAAAGCAGTGGAGCTAGTGGGAAATCAGGAGGAAAGCTGTGCTGAACCCCCTCTTTAAGTAGAGGCCTTGGAGCCTGTGCCCTCACTCTAGTCAGAGGTCCAGTCAGAGGGGCAGAGGGCACTGAAGAGATGTGAAGAACCCGCAGATTCAATCTTGCAGCATAACGAGATTTCCCAATGATGCCTTTTCCTGGGGAAGCAAGGCAAATGGAGAGGTCCAAAGAGATCCAAAATCAGTTGAATTGGTGGGAAATGGGAAGAAAAACTTCACTGAAAAAATTGTGAGCATTTGCTTAGAACTCCCATTTGTCATCTCTTTTTCATCTTATATCTCTCAAATGTCTTCTGCCTCTTACTTCCCCCATGTCTCATGTGAAGAGGTAGCTTTTCTTGCCAAGGCAAATTGTTTTCTGTGCACAAGTGATCCCCTTCCATCTTTTCTTCACCATCAGATCGACCCTTCTATCATCTCCATTCTCTCTCTAATCTTCAGTCACTCTTCATCTACTTAATGGTTGCATCCCTTCTTCCTATAAACACGTCTATGTCTCCAATCCTCAGAGAAACCCTCACTTTATCTATCCTTGCCTAGTTGTCATCCCATATGTCTTCCCTTTAATGGCTAAATGCTTTGAGAAGGCTGAAGGCCATATATAATTGTCAGCAAAACAGTAAATTGTTCAATACCTGCTATGTGCCAGGCATTGTCCTAAGTGCTGAGCATACCAACGGAAAGGTAAATGACAACCTCTGCTCTCAAGGAACTTGAAGTCTAATGGGAGAGACAACATGCAAACCACTAGTAGTAGAGGCAGCTAGGTGGCAGCAGGAGATAGAGTTCTAGGCCTGGAGTTGGGAAAAACTGAGTTGAAGATCAGTTATCAGATATTTACTAGCTATGTGACCCTAGGCAAGTCACTTAACTTCTGTTTGCCTCAATTTCCTTATCTGTAAAATGGGGATAATAATCACACTTACCTTCCAAGGTTGTTGTGAGGATCAAATGAGATAATATTTGTAAAGGGCTTGCACAGTGCCTGGCATGTAGTAGGCTCTATATAAATGCTAACTATCATTATTATTATTTACAAATAAGATATATACAGGATAAGTTGAAAACGATCATTTGGATTCAGTAAACATTTATTAAGCACCTGCTGTGTTCCAGGCATTGTGCTAAGCCCTGGGGGTATAAAAAGAGGCATAAGACAGTCCCTGCCCTCAAGGAGCTTACAATCCAATGTGGGAGACCACATGCAAACAAATATATACAAAGCAAGCTATATACTGGATAGGTAGGAAATAATTAACAGAGAGAAGGCACTGGAAATAACAGAGTTTCAGGAAAGCTTCTTGTAGGAGGTGGGATTTTAGTTGAGACTTAGAGGAAGCCTGGAAGTTAAGTAGTTGGAGTGGAGGAGGGAGAACATTCCACACAGAGAGTGCCTGGAGCCTGTGAATCAGTATCTTGTTTGTAGATTAGCCTGGAAGCCAGTGTCACTGAAGTGAAGAATACATATTGAGGAGTAAGGTAAAGTAAGAAGACTGAAGAGGTAGGAGGTGGCTAGTTTATGAAGGGCTTTGAGTGCCAAACAGGATTTTGTTTTTACTCCTAGCTTCAATAAGGAGGCCATTAGAGCAGGGGTGGGGGGTTATTAGAGTTTATTGCATTAGAGTTTATTGAGGTGTGGGGGGGATGGGTGTGAGGTAGGGTGGGAGGGTGTGAGGGAGTGGAGTTCCCTGATCTGACTTGAGTTTTAGGAAAATCACTTTAGCGGCTGAATGGATTGGATAGAGTAGGGAGAGACTTTGAGGTAGGCAGATCTCCTGTTTAGTCATTTTTTTTTTTTGCAGTTGTGTCCAACTCTTCAAGACCCTATTTAGGGTTTTCTTGGCAGATACTGGAGTGGCTTGTGATTTCCTTCTCCAAGCCCATTTTACAGATGAATAAACTGAGGCAGATGGGTTAAGTGACTCTATTCACTGTGCCACCTAGCTGGCTTAGGCAGGTCTACCAGCAGGCTGTCAACGGAGAGAAGGCAGTAGAAATGAAGGGTATAGAGAAAGATGAAATTTTAGACTTGAAAGAAGCCAGGGAAGCCAGGAAGCTGAGAAGAAGAGGGAGAACATTTCAGGAATGGAGAAACAGTCAGTGAAAATGCCCAGAGTTGGGAGATATCCATCAATTGAGAGAGGCCAGTGTTACTGGTTTGAAGAGTACGTAGCAGGTATAGGGGAAGGAATATAAGGTGTAAGAAGACTGGAAAGGTGGAGGGAAGCAGGTGATAAAAGGCTTTGAGTGTCAAACAGGATTTTATATTTGATATCTCCACTTCCTTTCTTCTCATTCTCTTCTTAGCTCTGCAGTCTGACTTCCAAGCCTCAGCATTCAACTAAAACTGCTCTTCTAGAAGGTTACCAAAGATTTCTTAATCTCCAGATCTACGGGCCTTTTCTCAGCTTTCACCCTTCTTGACCTCTCTGCATCCTTTGACAGTATTGATGCTTCTCTCTAGGCTTTTGTGACACTGTGTGCTGGTTTTCCTAACTATTGAACCACTTTTCTTCTTAATCTCCTTTGTTGGGTCTTTATTTAATGTTGGGTGTTCCTTCAGGCTCTGTCCCATTTTCTTCTCTTTTCCCTCTAAACTCTTTCCCTTAGTGATTTTGTCAGCTCCCATGAATTCAATCATCAGCTCTCTAGCAGATGATTCTAGATCTATTTATCCACCCTTAAGTTCTCTCCTAATTTCCAATTTCATCTGACTGCCCATACATCCCAAATTGGGTGTCCCATCTTAAACTCTTATACATCTTCAACTCAACATGTCCATAATGGAACTCTTCATTTTTCCTCTCAAGCACTCTGTTCTTCCTAACTTCCCATTTACTGTCAAAGGTACTGCTGTCCTCCCAGGCATTCAGGCTGGCAATCTAGATGTCATCACTCCTCACTCTATCTCACCTCCCCATACTTAATCTCTTCCCAAGCCCTGCCGATTTCACTTCAGCAACATCTCTCAAATATGCCCCTTTTTCTCCTCTGATACTGCCACTACTCTAGTGCATGCCCTGTCACCTTATACTTGGGCTATTGAAATAGCCTGCTGGTGGATCTGCCTACCTCACGTCTCTCTTCACTCCAATCCATCCTCTATTCAACTCCCAAAGTGATTTTCCTAAAGCACAGGTCTGACCATGTGGCCCCTTTGCCTCCAGGATCAAATACAAAATTCTCTCTTTGGCATTCAAAGCCAGCCCCTCCCTACTTTCTAGTCTTTTTATACCTTACTCCCTGACACATATACTTGATCCAGCAACAGTGAGCTTCAGGTGGTTCCATGAATAAGGCACTACATCTCTTGGCTTTGGGCATTTTCTCTGACTGTTCCTCTTTCTTGGAGTGTCCTCCCTCCTCACCTTCCTCTGGCTTTCTTTAGTCTCAACCAAAATTCCATCTTCTACAGGAAGCCTTTCCCAAACCCTTTTAAGGGCATCTTCGCTCTCTTAACCATTTCCTGTATATAGCTTATCTATACATATTTGTTTGCTTGTTGTCTCCTCAATTAGATGGTGAGCTTCTTGAGACCAGGGACTGCCTTTTGGCTCTTCTTGTATCCCCAGTGCTTGGTACACTGCCTGGCACATAGTAAGTGCTTAATAAAAGTTTACTGACTGATACACACACACATTTATGTGTGTATATATATATATATATATATATGTATATATGTATATACACACACACACATATGCAGGTGTTGTTTGTGCATT